ACTTTAATTCCATCCAGCTTCCTTACTCAGACACAGTCCGGTATCTTGATTTTCATTTAGACCGAAGACTAACGTGGAACCCACATACTAGACTCAAAAGACAAGAACTCAACCGACGATACGGCCAGCTATACAGACTACTAAACAGAAAATCCAAACTTTCTATTGAAAACAAATTACTTATCTACAAGACAAGACTGAAACCTATATGGACATACGGACTTGAACTGTGGGGGACAGCAAAAGTTTCTAACATCAAATGTATTCAATCCTTTCAATCTAAAGTCCTTCGAACAATAGTTGATGCTCCGTTCTATGTAAATAACAAAATCCTACACCATGACCTTAATATCCCATTTGTCCTAGACCTTATTCCAGAAAAATTCTCCAAATTTCACCAGAACCTTACCTATCATCCAAATCCCCTTGCACAATCTCTATCCAGCACCACCCATCCTTACAATCCTCCTCGAAGGTTGAAGCGGCAGTGGCCCAGAGACCTTCTGTAAATAAGCATCTATTGGAGTTTTGGCAATGGCCAGATCCTCCACTCAAGCCCGAGTGTGTATGATTAGGTTAGTTCTTTTGTTTATATACATTTATTTTATTTTATTGTATTTATTTTTATTTTATTGTATTTATTTTTATTTTATTGTATTTATTTTTATTTTATTGTATTTATTATTATTAAGTTTCTGTATTATTATTATTTTTTTTATTTATTGTAAATAGAGTGTGAGTGTGTTCTCTGAACACTATTACAAATGTCCTTGATGTGACAGAATGTGATATTTCTAAATAAACAAATATAAAAAAAAAAAAAATTCGATCGGGTCAAATTTCCGATGAGCGTTTTCATCCATTTTCAGCCATTAGTCCGTCTGTGCCAAGATTATCTGGGGAACTAGTGGACCCATTTTTATGCTTCGATTACGATTTTGTAGGGGTTTGGCTACTACTCAATAGCGGCTGCGCAATAAGTGAAAAACATTTCAATTTTCGGACATGTACAAAAGAAAAATGTTTTGGGGGCTAACTAACTAAGTAAATATTCTATGATAAAATTGATATAAATACTTTTGAAATGTAATCAAATTAACTACAAGACAAAAAAAATTATCAGAATCGAAGCAGTATTAGAGATGATACAACGTATTCTATTTTCTATACCTGTATTAATTTATTACTTTCCTACCTATACTAGGTAAGGAAAGTATTGCAATCGGGTCAAATTTCTGATGTGTGGTTTTCAACGGATCTGTACGTTTCACAGCCTCCTGAGTCCGAAAAATATATTTTCAGCCATTGGTCTGTCTATCTGTCTGTTCAAAGATTATCTCGGGAACTAGTAGACCGATTTTGTTGCTTCCTTTTTTATTTTGTAAGGTTTTGACAACTGATGCCTGTGACAAAAATTGGGTGCTCCCTGCAATAGCCGCTGCGCAATAACTGCAACCATATGTTTCTATGGACAGATTATAGTCACAAACCAGTTTACATAGCTTTAGTTTTTTTTTCAAAGAAATAGTACTCAAATATTTTCTGTGATTAATTTTCAGAAAAATAAATCTATTTTTTTTTCTTTACTTCTTAATGATATTTATAACTGTATTAAAGAAATACGTTTAGTAAATTTGAACAGGATATAATGACGTGAAAACACTTGTTGAATAACTACCTAATGGTATCACTCTAATAATATGTTTACATTAGGAGATCACGGGGCCATCTTATTGTCAGACGCCTCGGAGCGTTATCAGGAATTGAAGAGGAAGCAAGGTTAGAAACGAGAGGGTTGGAATAATTCTGAAGTTTATTATGGAAGGATAGGTTATCTGGATTGGGCTAGATCTGAAACATAAGTAACATTAAGGTCATTATGGATGATTTATTTGTGACAAAGTAAGGAGCATTGAGGATTTTGGATTGTAAGGATTGGATACGAGAGGAATTTAATGGTTTAGTGGTGCCCCATAGCTCAACTCCGTAAGTCCAAATAGGCCTTATTATAGTCATGTATATGAATCTTTTGTAATTAATTAGAAGTTTAGAGCGTTTGTCTAGTAAATGCTGAAGTTATCGGAAACGTCAAGCGGTTTCTTGTCGTTTCAGTCTAGTATGAGGATTCCAAGTTAGACGTTTGTCTAAGTGGAGTCCAAGGTATCGAATTTGTTCAACAGGGATAAGTGGGGTATTATTAAAGGATACTGTAGGACAAGAGGACATAGGTTTATGACGAAGGGTAAAGGTGATTTGATGGGATTTATTGGAATTTATTTTTATCCTCCAGTTTTGACACCATTCCTTCAAGGTTTGTGATGTGTGATTGAAGGGTTTGGGACGCAATTGTTGGGTCGTTATTAACTGACACATGTATAATCGGCATACGTGGTAATGACTGTGTTAGGATGGGTTGGGATATCAGCTGTATAAACTGTGGATAGGACCTGTATCCTGTATAAAGGATAGGACCTAGGATACTACCTTGAGGAACACCAGCGGACTGGGAAAAAAGGGATGAATAGGCCTTATTGTGATTTACTTTACTGAAACATAAGTAACATTAAGGTCATTATGGATGGTTTTATTTGTGACAAAGTAAGGAGCATTGAGGATTTTGGATTGTAAGGATTGGATACGAGAGGAATTTAATGGTTTAGTGGAGCCCCATAGCTCAACTCCATAAGTCCAAATAGGCCTTATTATAGTCATGTATATGAATCTTTTGTAATTAATTAGAAGTTTAGAGCGTTTGTCTAGTAAATGCTGAAGTTATTGGAAACGTCAAGCGGTTTCTTGTCCTTTCAGTCTGGTATGAAATCTAATTAATTTTTTTTTTTTTTAATGGACATATTTATTGATATAAAAACTTTTCTGTAATTGGTAGGAAAGTCGTGTGAGTGGAAAAAGCAGATTTTGGTCAAGTTTTCCTTCCATAGGAAGCTATAACACAAAGATTATTGAATTCAGATAATTAAAAATTGTTTTATAGTATACTAGACAAAATTTTCTTCAAATAAAAGTAATGTTTATCTTTGTCAAAACCATTAAGGGGATTTTTAGGTGGCCAAACTAAGCTAAGTTGTGATTATCATTAAATTATGGATTATTTGTGATTTTGCTTCCTCACTACCGAAGCTATTGAAGCATTGTATTCGTGCTAGAGGTTAAAAAAAATTATGCTCAGAATCGAAAATTTTCACTGGCGTTTTACATTTCAGACATCAAGGATCAAATTTGGTTAGGTGTCTCTCTGACTGTCTGTTTTTTTTTTTTTTTTTTTTCCTGTTCTTCCCTACATCACCTTTTAGGCTATACGGGATTTTCCCGCTGGCCGGGGAATTTTAAAATTCTCTCTGACACGGACCCGAAATCGTACTTTTTAAATCTCTCAAATCTGTTATCCGGTTGCCAAGCAGTGCGCGGTGCTGTGCACACGCTTTAGCCCATTCCGCCACCCCGCTCCCTCTATCTGTCTGTCTGTAGTCAAATCAATGTAACGGCCATATTACCTACTATCGTTTATCCGATTTTCAGGAATTGTGCAGATTGAGTTCTAGATGGTCAAATGTCAATTTCATTAAATTCTAACCAGAACTTCGCACCTACGCACGAGCAAACGCATTTTTGTAGATATGCCAATTTTTCAGAAATGGATCGTTCCATTTGACTCAAAGTTGGATAAAAAATTAGCATTTGTGAACAATAATGTAGGATCAATTTTATTGAATTCTGTCAATTACTTTCTCTTATATATGAGCAAGGGTGTTTTCCTTGATACGTCTATATCTCTAAAACCTCAAGTCCGATTTGGCTCAAATTTGGAGGGAATTAAGAGATTGGCAAACGTAAAATGAAAAAGGCATCGATTTTATCAAATTCGATCTAATACTAAAAAAAAATTATTCAACTTTCAGATCAGAATATGTGTTATTTGATATGCCTATAGTTTGAAAACGGCGCATTCGATTTGAGAAAAACTTAGAGGAAATTTGGAGAACAGTCTAGAAATTACTTAGTATTAATTTTATTGAATTCCATTTAATAATTAAAATTAATACAAATGATTGTTAGCAATATATTGTTTTGTTCTGACTGAAGAAAAGTATTGGTCTCGTTAACTCCGAACAAAAAAAAGTTGAATTTCTTGTTCCATCCATTTTAAGAGTGAAAACATAACTATTAAATGTATATCACTACTGTTGGTGCTAAGTTCGTATGTAAAAGTTTTCAATTTTTGTTCTATTTTTGACATTATGTTGTCTGAAATTGATTTAAGTAGTCTAATGAAAAATAGCAGAGGGAAACAAAATATAAAATTTTACTAATAAATCAGAAAGAAATAATTAGTTTTTATGCTCTCCTGTAACACACTCCATTTTTGCATACGTCATTTGCATTAACAGTAGCGAGATACATATTCAGTATGTACGGTTTTTAATTTTATTTTTAAAAAAATTCTGCTCTTTCAAATATTTATCTCAGGTGATAATGAACTATGGTTTATGAGACAGATATCTACTGTGGAAATTGATCCAATACGATCAAGGATGTACAATCAAAGCTTATTAAATAAGAACACTTTATAAAAAAGTGGAGAATCTGTAGTCTAGTTGTAGGATTATAAAAAAAAACCCTAAATAATCCATAATCTTAGTTTGGCAGCTCAAAAGTCTTCTTTAAATGGTATTAACAACGACAAACTGAACTTTTATTTGAAAGAAATTTTGTTTATTTTAATATAAAGCATTTTTTAATTACCTGAATCGAATAATCTTTGTGTTTTCTATGAAAGGAGAAACGCGATCATTTTAAGAAAAGAAAAACTGTACTCAACTTCTTTTCTGATCAAATGAAATTTTTTGTTGAAAATTTTGTCTATAATCACCTCCCAGAGTTTGTTCATTAAGAATTTAGACACCCTGTATATGATCATATTTAAACATACTACCAAATAGTGAGAAAATATTTGATTAAAGTCGCGTTTATTATCGACTCACCTGGTAAGAGTATGCTCCAAGAATCGTCCGGAAGCGGCATGGGCAGCTTGGGGTGTACCTTAGCCGCTTGAAGCTCTCCCTTGAGAACATTCTGCACACTTTCCAACACCTTGTGGACCCCTTCGGTGTGAGTGTTGTCGATGAGCGGCTGGGGGTCGTAGACCGGGAGGGAGTCCAGCTCGTCACCTCCAGCGATGAGGCTCTGGATCTGGTCGAGGGTCATCAGCTTCTTCACCAGCTCTCCGTCATCGCCGAAGGAGTAGAACTCGTACCGGTCCGGGGAGAGGAGGGTCCCTGGGGTGCCCACCACCTGCGGCTTCTTCTCCACATCCCCGTCCGTTATGTAGGTCTTCGTGCCGTTCCCGTGCTCCATTATTACCGACACTGATGTTACCACACTGAAATAAACCAATGAATTCATTTAATATCTATGGTCAATTTATACATTTTATAGTAATGGGCAATTTGACCCACAGTAAACAAGGCAGTCAAGTCCGACTAAAATAGTTCTGGAACTTGGAGTGCTCCATAAAAATCTATTTTAGGTAACAATACACTCAATTGTTCTCTAGTAGTTTGGCAAGCAACAGCTTCAAGATAAATTTATTTTTGTTCTTTATACAACTTACATTATTATTACATTAGCTTACATTATTTCCACTAAGATCACATCTAATCCCCTTTATTTTAAAATAGCAAAAGGATTGTAATTTAAAAATCAACTACCATAAGATGGGGTAACTGTGGGACTGGGTGGATAACTTTGGGATTAAATTTGTTTTTTTTGATTCCGTGGTGAATTCACTGTGTTGTTTCAGTCTGCGAAAACGTGCTTTCTATAGGCATGTGCTGCACTACTATCTTGCAACAGTTTGAGAACCCTAGTTCACTACACTCGTTGTTATTCATTTCCATTGCTTTTTTCCAAAATCCTTGTTTTCATGAAACTTTCGCTTGAGCCTTTAAGAGTATGGTCCACAAGGTAGCAGTGCAGTACAGGCGCTGTCCATGCTGACTTACCAACACTAAATTTTACCCGCTGTACCAAAGTTACCCTCCCAGTCCCAAAGTTACCCCACCTTACGATAGTTGATTTTAAAATTACAATACTTTTTTTGGACATTTTTGTATAATCCAAAACATAATTTTAATTTTAAAAAAAACATAAATATAAATAAAACTTTGACATTACCATGTTTAAACATCTTAACTTTCCTCTTTAGGCAGTATTTCTCAAACAAAAATTATCTCTCTACATAAACATAGTGACTCGTATACACAAATAAAAGTTTCTTATTTAAAAATGACCATGTATACGTCCAAAATAGGGCCATGTTTTGAACCAAGATTCGGCAATCAAGACTTATGCCATTCTTTAAAATACTATTTCATTGTAAAAAAAAAAAAAAACCTGTACCACTACAACCCATGAAGGGTCTTGGGTTCAGTACTATTTAGGGAAAGCACTATTTTTAGGTCAACGGTTGTGCAAGGAGGTGATTTGACCGAGATCACGCTCAACCGTCAGGTTTTTCCTCTTATTTCATTATTTAATTAAGGATACCCCCTTTATAGAGGCTAGGTGTGCCTTAGGAGGGTGGGTCTCCTGACCCACGGTCACCCCACAGCCAATGAAACAGATAAATAAATTGTCTGCCATGATCCGGGGTTCGAACCTGGGATCTTTAGGATAGAAAGCACGGTGCCCTACCACTGAGCTATCCCACTCCCCTAATATTTCATTGCACTTCTGTGAAATAAGAAGTGAAATATAAAAATATTTCATGGATATGTTTATAACCTCAAATACATTTAATGTAGTTAAATAACTCTATATAAGATATTATATTTAAATAATTAGGTATCTATCGACCTTTTATTCCATAAAATCATCAAGTAACCTTTTATAAAGCCAGTTTGAACTTAGCAATAATATTGCTAATACATTACAATAACATGTGTTATTAATTAAGCTTTTAGATAATTAAATTAGTGAATAATTGGACGAGTTTTCTCTTTGTGAAATCCCATCGTTATCCATTTACAATCAGTGTAAAAACTTTTGATCTATCCATGGCAGGCAATGAAAATCCCGTGATTTCATTTTAGTAAACTTTACAATGGAAAATAACAGTTTAATAACTAATAGTCCTACAGTCCATTATCATTTAATGGTTAAATATTCAGATATACTTTCAGATCTCTCTAGACATTTATGAGACTTTCGGTTGACAGAATGACTTCCTCTAATATTATTAATTTTACTGAAGTTTCTAGAGGCAAACTTTAATCTTGAAGGTGTGAATACCTTTATTCACAGTTCTATATTTCATACTGCAATCACCTACTCTGGGATCTACTTACTCCTTTGTTTGAAGAGATATAACTTTTCCAACTAGAAATATCACTAAAATGACATCACTCAAAAATATTGAAATTGGAGTTAGTCAATCTGACAATTGAAAGGCTCAGAGACTGATTGTGAGTTTTATAAAAGCAAATGGAGTAACTAGATTTTTATTGCCTACCGCCGATATAATAAATAGAGAATTTGTAATTTTAATGGTCTTGATTATTTGTTATATGTACAATTATTTAAAAATTATATATACAAATGCAAATCAAAGAATGTTCATAGGATTGCAATTCTTCTAAAATTGCTACAATTAAATAAAATAAAATAAGATTTAAATGTAATTTTTACCATTATTCTTTTATGAAATAGACTATCTTATAAAAAGCACAGAGCTTTTTTAACTATTTCAATAGTATTGAAGAAATCCCGAAATCTCTAATTAATGATGTAATCTAGCCACTTCTAATATTTGGCTACGAGACCTGTACACTAACCAGCACTCTAAACTGATCTATCCACAGCTTTGAGAGGAAAATCCTCTTCACAATAACCGGAGAGATTTGGGATCAGAATACTAAAAAATGGATGAGAAGTACCAATAAATAACTACTTACAGAAATTGGTCAATCAATATCTCATGACATGAAGTCAAAGGGTTATGATAGGTGGGGCATTTAGCTCAGAATAATACACCAGGGAGAATCTACACAACAACGATATGGATAGATCGAACCAACTAAGATGCTGCAGAGCTCTATGCAGATAACTGGAAAGCAAAAGCTCAAGAAAGGCAGAGATGTAGAAGGCGACCAAAGATCCACAAGGTCTGTAAAGCCAACAAGAAAAAATTAAATAATAAATCTTTTATGATAATTGTACCTTCGATATAGCTCATCTAACAAATGGTTTTTTGAAATTCAAATTTTGTCGTGCTTATTTCATATTTATAGCCTCGCTTTTTATATTGTAAACTGCAAAGTAATTGTCAATATAAATATAAATAGATATTGTCAATATGTCATAAAATATAATCCTTGAAATAAAAAAAAATCTTCGTCTCAACACGTTACTTTCAAATATACCGTCACTGAATATTCTTAAAATATTTAACTATCAAAACAATTAAATTATATGAGATTTTTTTTTTTTAAACTCTGCGCTCATCTCGAGTACAAATTTTGTAAGATTTTATTTTACTTTCCCTCTATTTTTCAAAGGACTTTAATAGATGTCTTAGAGAAATATGATGAAAAGTCGTTCAACATAATTTAATAAAAATCCTAAGGAAGACTATGCAAATAAAACTATTTCGGTATTTTATTAGATACATAATAAGTCCTTAGGTTTGTCCGCATTATTATTCCCAAATCTAGCGGCCCTGGTTCGAATCCGACATGAGTGGGTTGAAATTTGGGTGGACCCATGAAATGATTCTTAATCTTCCCACTCCAGCTTTAATAGGTTTGGACGGGCCTCTAGAACAAACCATATTTCAGAAATAGTTAGGAAGGGAGTTAAATGGGGGAAAAAAAGTTGGTAATGATTCTAAAACTAGTAACTTCGGACAAAATGGAATTGCATATTTACAATCAGCAAACATCCTATAGTTGCTGACACCCGTTTTGCCCAAGGGCAAGGAAGGGAGAATAAATAAATAAAAACATCCTATTTCATGGATATGAAAGAATTTTTCTGAGTAATTTTAGAAGATTTTCTTGAAAAAAAATTCATTTTTTGGTTCTGTTTCGTTTTTCCTAGGACAACATACGCAAACATACAGATCCACATTTTTATTTATATCCATAAATAAAAATATAATATTTAATGTATGTCTTGATTGAAATGATTATTAAACAAATTTTTATAATGAAGAAAAAATATTTACATCTCTACTTTAAGAATTTAATATGTGTTTATGACAGTAGTACTTTGAAAAAAAGATTCCAAATACGATAAATCACGGTCTATCATTTGTATTTTACAGGATAAAATTTCAATTTTAAACATTCATTGTTTGACTATGTTTAATCTACGTTTAAAAAATAAATAGAATACAAAAAAAAATCATTCTCAAAGGTAGTCAGCGGTTTGACTCATTTTTTATTAAATTATTTACGTCCGTCTAAACTTTCCTGAATGAATATGAAAACTTCATCTTTTCCTAACGTACAACATTTTTATTTACAATATCTCCTATAAATGGGACATTTACAATCTGGAGATAAAATTTATATATTAAATGAGGTACTAAAAATTTTTGAGCAACCATTTGCTTTCCACTCGAATTGTAAGATAAATTAATCCAAAAATGAAAAAAATAGTTCTTCAAATGCTTGACTAATTGATATGCTCTCCCATGTCACTAACATGCCAAAATAACGAAGATATATAGATCAACCGATCTAATAATTTTGCAGTTTACCATTTTCTCGATTTTGTGGTCAAATGATCATAAAATTCAGGTGGAAAAATAATGGATTTTCATGAGTTTTAGTACCTTATCTAATTAATTAATATATAGTAAAAAAACGCCAAGTGTTGGCATACTTTAAGTAGTGTTGGCATACTTAATAATTTCTTTATCTTTAAATATATTGGATTTACTGTAGTGCACTTTTTTTCCTGGCTGATATATTAACTTTATTATTCCTTAAAGGCATTTGTTTGTTCTCACATTTTATTTATTTTTAATAATTAAGAAAACCCATGATCGAGGCTTTATTTTGTCTTGATTATCTTTCCATTCAGTGTTTAAAAATAGATCCTAGAAAAGCAATTTGTACAAATATCTTGGTCTGTTATGTTAGACCATTATAAAAAAATATTAATTCCTTCCTTTCATATTACATAACATCTACTTATTTCCATATTCCTTACGCTATTCCTTCACTAAACAAAATTTTCTGCGAATTATTGGCAGGGGCCAACTAGTTATTGTTATTAATTAAAGTAGAGTAATTGAAGCCTCACCTGGATCCTAGAAGCTTCCTGGTCTGCTCCGAGTCCATTTCTTGAGGCAGAGGGACCGCATACCCGGCAGCCAGGCAGACAGCCACCCACAGCCACCTCTCCATACTCCTGGAAGCAATACAACGTTTAGCAAACTGGTAAAACATTTTTTTTTTCTCATAAATATATTCTCCATTCCTCCTCCAATTCTACATAACCCTGTTTTCGTTTAAGGTTCAGATACATAACAGCCGATCTGCGCTCTGTTTGTACAGCTTACCTACGATAGTGCACCTATGTGACTGTGATAGTGCAATAGTGATGGTGCCCATCGCGGATCGGGATCGCAGATCGCCATAGTTTAAGCTCATATAAAGATACTCAGGTGGGACAGACTCTTCTATCGCGCGAATAAACCCTGAAATGTGACAGTTGAACTATTTTATTAATTTCACTCCCACAATATATAGACTCTAGAGTAAGGTAGTGGAAATTGTTGATAGAGGTGTAAGGTATTATTGCGAAAGATGTACTTTTTCGTTTTACATTTTGATTCATTTTCACAAATACTGTCATCACCACGTATACTGATCACACATGTATTCTATCTGTTAATAATGATCCATCAACTGCATCCCAAACTCTCCGATCACATATCACAAAACTTGAAGAATGGTGTAAAAACTGGAGAATTAAAATAAATCCCATCAAATTACATTTACCCTGCGTCGCAAACCTACGACCTCCTGTCCTTTAACCATTCCCCACTTATCCCGGTTGAAGAAATCTGTTACCTAGGACTCCACCTGGACAAACGACTCACATGAAATCCTCACACAAGACTGAAACGACAAGAAACCCCTCGACGTTTCCGACTACTCCAGAACTTACAAGACAAACGCTCTACTCTAAGCTTTCAATCAATTACAAACGACTCATATATATGGCAATAATAAGATCTATTTGGACTTACTGAATTGAGCTTTGGGGCTCCACTAAACCATCGAATTTCTCTCCTATCCAATCCTTACAATCCAAAATCCTTCGTAAAATCCTCAACGCTCCTTACTTTGTCAGAAATAAAATCATCCATAATGACCTCAATGTTCCATATGTTTCCGATTTTGCCCGATCAGATACCTATCCTTCCATAACAAACGTCAGTACCATCCGAACCCTCTCGTTTAAAACCCCTTCCTCCTCGATCTCTGATAGCCCTCCGGAGCATCTGAAAAGAAGATGGCCTCGTGATTTTCTTGTGTAAATTTATTATTTGAATGCTACCAGTGGGTAGTTACTCAACAAGCGATTTCATGTTATTATATTCCTGAATGCACATTTACAAGATGTAGTTTTTTTTTATATAATGCAATTGTAAATATCAATGAATAAAATTTTTTTAAAAAATCACAAGGATTCGTTAGGTCGTTTCATTTTGGGATGGGTCCTGTTAAAATCGATTTTATTATTTTTATTAGTTAATGCATCTATGGATAATGCTGGAAAATTTTATTAACAGTCCAACTCTGAATCAATTTAATAACATAAATCAAGGATAAATATAAAATTTCATTTCATATTTACTTTACTTTCAAGTTTCCCTCAAAATTTCTTTGGAAGCAGATGGATCCAACATAAAGGTATAATTTTAAAAAAAATCCTCTACTACTACAATCCATGAAAGATTTTGGGTTCAGTAACTTGTCAGGAAGTACTTTTTCAATGACAACGGCTGTTCAGAGATGTGATTGAACCAGGATCACACAACCGCCAGGTTTTCTCCTTAAACAATTATTTTATTAAGACTACTCACTTTATAGTAATTAAGTAGCTTGAGGTACCAACCCCAGTGTCGATCCACGGCTGATGAATGAAAAATTAAAGTTTTATTTAAAGGTATTTTCAAATATATATTTTAAAAATTGCATAATAATTTGTTGTTGTTGTTGGGTCACTTCTACTTCATTTCTTTCACACGTTGAAGCTCAAGGCTTACGTGAGGGAGTATTCCAACTTTTTTTTTCTGGATTCTGCCAACACCGATACCAAAAACGGGGCAAGCTTATCAAGCTCCGTTAAAATTTTACCTGAGTAGATTGTATTACTTTATCTTCCAACCAATGTCTATCTCAACCAAACCTTCCTGTTTTTTCATGTCGGCTTAGAATTTATTACATTTCATAATTTACCTCAACACAATAATTATTTAGTGATAAAAACCTAAATCCAATTAGAAAATTCACGGAATGAATGGCCTCCAACCTTTGTTTTTGTAGCATAATAAGTAAAAACTGATAAACTAAAAATTGATAAACAGTCCATGGTACAAACCCCTTTTTATCGAAATATTAATAAGTGCCTGAAACTTTGTATATAGTTTCATCTCATCGTAACCTACAAATATTTTATTTTAACTTTGTCTATTTAATTATTTACTATAAAATCATAAATAACCATTTGCTTTCTTAAATTATCTTGCTTTTATCGTAACATAATTTGATCACAAATTCCAGAAAAAATATGGCCTTCAAAAATATTGGGCCGTTTGTCCAATATAACCCCGTTATTTTGAAAATGTGGGGGAGTAGGTCACGACAAACGGCTCAATATTTTTGAAGTCCGCCTTTTTTCTCGATTTTATGGTCAAATTATCTTACGATCCATGTAGAAAGAAAATGGATATTTCATAGTTTCCTTTTGGATATAGACAAAGTTTCTCCCTCTCCAGATTGAAAACGCCCCAATTCCAAGAATTTTCGTTGATAAAATAGTTGTAGGTTACGATGAGATGGAACTATTTACAAAGTTTCTGGCGGACGTTAATAATTCGATAAAAAGGGTCTGTACCACGGGCTAGTATTTTAACACCGTCTATGTTCACTACTACTGCCTGATGTCAATCTTCAGTAATAATATTTTTATTGTTTTTAATTTTTATAAGTATTTCGTTTGAAAAAATAACGTTTTCACGGAAGCAGCCATCGAATCATGATATAAACAATCGTTTATGGATTAATCAAATTTTATCTAAATTTATGAGGATGAAATTTATATTAAAATCAATATTGATATTATTTATTAATAAATAAATCACCTACTATCATTGTAAATATCCAGGTTATGTAAAAAAAAAAACATTATAACATTTAAACCAAATATACAAAAGCGGAGTACATTTGAGAATGTTGGGATCTTTACAGAATCTATGCATGTGAAGCTCAGTGGGATGAAGTTGCATTTTGAACTGATATTACTGAGATTTTGAAAAATAAGATGAAAGTGGAGAAATAAATTGTTTTAATGTATTGAAAAAAGTGAACTACATTATTATTATTTTTTATAAATGCATTTTTTGAAATTTACAACTGTACTAACAAAAAATACAACAAACTTGTAGAAAAAATACCCAATCCAATAAATATTAAAAGCTCCTGTGGCCATCTTCTTTTCAGGCACCTAGGAGAACTGTCAGGAATCGAAGGACTACACGGTTAGAAACTAGTGGAATAAGTTGGTTTATAAGTTTATTATTAAAGGATAGGAGTACAGGTCGGGTTAAATCGGCAACATGTTCTGCTCTTTATGGACAATTTGATTCATGACAAAATAAGGAGTATTGAGCATTTTGTGAAAGATTTTGACTTTTGAATTCTAATTGAAGAAAAGAATGGTTGAGGTGATCCGTAAAAAAAGAGTTAAAATAAACAAGTACATTTCTTTTATAAGTAAATTTAAATATACTTACATTTTAAATAAGTATATGTATTTCATATACATATTAATTTTTTTATTATTATTTAATGTTTATAGTTTATAGTCATATCTATTGTTATTTTTTTTTCTTAGCCTTGATGAAGGGCTGAACTTTGGGCCGAAACGTCGGCAAAAATAAAAATAAATAAATATACTTATTAATTTTTGATTTTTTTTTTCACTGATCATCCCAACCACCCTTCTCTTCAATAATGCACTACAGTCAACCACCAATACCACAATTTAAATTGTAAGTATTGGATACGAAAAGAATTTGATGATTTATGTGTAACCATGAAGCCCAATTCCATATGCACAAATAGATATTATTACAGTCAAGTAAATTACTATAATGACACTATTAGAGTGTCAAAGCAGCCAGAAACGTCTAACAGTTTCTTGTCGTTTCAGTCTTCTATGTAGATTCCACGTAAACCGTTTGTCTAGATGAAATTATGACTCTATCTGATCCAACCTAGGGATACCGAATCTGCTCAACAGGGCTGAAAGTCACAGCTTTAAGACGAAGGATAAAGGTGATTTAATCGGATTTGTAGGAATTTCTTTTCATCCTTCAATTTCGAGATCATTCTTCAAGGTTTGTCATATGAGACTGAAGAGTTTGGGAGGCAATAATTGGATCATTATTTAATCATAATACAAGTCATGAGCAGAAGTGGTGGTGATAGTGTTAGATTGGATTGCAATGTCAACTGTACAAACTGTGTAGAGGATGGGACCGAGGACACTTTCTTGAGGAATACCAATGGTCTGAGAAAAGTTCATTGTAATTCATTTTTTATAACTTCAAATAAGTGGTTAAATACCCCAAACTTTTGTAGATAAATATAAATAAATTAATCATTTCAGATACACATTATTATTTTTTTATTCAAAAAAATAAATGCAGGTTTATATAGGAATATTTGGGTAGGAAAATGAAGTCAGCGAAGTCGCCCAGAGTGAAGTGCCCTAGATAAAATAAGGTTGATTCTAGGAGCCTCTTCGGCAAAAAGTGGGATCGGCAAGGATAAGTGGGTAGCCTCTTCTGGGAAGGAAAGAAGCTGGATATCGCCACGAGACCTTTTTGTCACGGTTTTGGCCACGGTCGGCTGCGCCTGTCTCTGGCGCCCTATTTTTTATTTTTTTCTTCTTTTGTTTGTTTTTGTGTTCTCTGCTTCTGGTGTTAGTTCTTGGTGCAATTTAGGTTATTTCCCTGCATAAAACAGTATGGGAAGGGTACACGTTATTATACTGATGCTTTCCATAGTTTGATGTTTAATAGATAGTATTCATGAATAACAAATAGTATGATTACTTTATGTTACATCTGTAACTGCACCTCATCACATCTATGAAACATTTAACTTTA